GAGAAGTTCCTGTGGATTATTGTCATCATATTACTGTGACCAAGCCAGCTCAGTCAGTCAATGGGTTCTCCAGGAAGGGAGTAAGGATTCAAAAGAAAAAAAGACAATTAGACAACACTGTAGCATGACCCCAGGCAGTTCTAAGGCTGAAGGTGGTTTATTTTTTTCCAGTCTGCTTTTATACCATTCTAAGTACATACAAAGAATTTGGTCAGTCCTAAGTCAGAAACCAAGTAGTTAAGGAACAAAGCGTAGACCGGAGGTCCTTGATTACTGTATTCAGGGTCTTGACTCGGCCCATCAAGATACAAAGAACACATTCCTCAGCTGTATTCATCTTCACATTCCTCAGCTGTATTCATTTTTAGTCTACTTCAGAGTCCTAGCCCAAAGTCAAATTCCTGCCTGAGGACTACTTCCATGTCCTGGCTCAATGTCAAATTCCTGTCAAGTTTCTAGAAGCAGCCCCAAAAGTTCTCCACATTACTGTGATTCAAGTTGATCATCTCAAACCCAGAGGAAACGTGTATATAATATTACATCTTTTCTTCTGGTTCTTTTGACACCAGTTTCTTGAGCCTTAGAGGTAATGATACAGGGATTATATAAGGGATCATCTCAGAAGTTCAACAAAATATGAATTTCCACAATAATTCTGGAAAGAAGTTCCTATTACCTGCAGCTGTCATGAGCGGTAATCTATAAGTATAAACACAGATGTTTAGAAAGAAAGTTTATAGGATATCACATCTGTTTAACAAAGCAATAATAGCAGCCTCCCACTCCTCCTTCATTTTCCTAGACATAATTTTTTGCCTGTGATTGTAATATGAAACGTGAACTCTCTCCTGCGGAGTGGGGCTTTAAGTCCAACTAAAAGATAGATGATTACACCCTCAACAGTACAACAATATTGTACCAATAGACACGTATTGCCAGTCATGGTGATAGTATAACATGCTGGGTGATGTGTTTATAAAGAGATAAAGAGAGGAGGGGATATGTTCTATTGGAGGTGTGGTGAGGTATGGGGGAAGGGTGTGCCTCAGCGGGCCCATGCCAAGGCATCCCTTCCCCATGAAGGACCAACCACAGGACAATATAGTATAGAATAGAGTTTATTAAGGACGTGGGGAAGGGAGTTAAGAGGGTAGTAGAGGCAGAGAAAGAGAGAGTAGAGAAGTAGAGAAGTAGAGGCCAACCATGAGCACGTGGAGAGAAGGGGGAAGGGAATGGGGAGGGGGGAAGAGGAGAGGGGACAGAGTGGGAACAAGAAGGCAAGAGAGGGAGGAGGGAACAAGCATCCCTTTTTATAGTAAGTCAGGCCTACCTGGTTGTTGCTAGGTAACTGTGGGGCAGAGTTTAGACAGAATGCTAACACTGGGTCCATAGCTGAGCAGAACCTTTAGTAATAATTCTCTCTCAGCACCCTGCATAGTACCTTCAGGCACTGTAAATGCTAGCCAATAGAAGGAAGCTTCCAGCACAGTCCTAGTCTGATTTTTCTGTGCCCGACAAGCATATTATATGGTATCTTCAGAAATAGAAACTTTCCATTAGTTCTAGTGTGTAACTAAGAGCAGTGGCGATAGCTTGTATGTGGTATGGGTGGCTATCGGGGGCTTCCCTGTACAACAACATACAAAGAGGCAGCCCACTCCATCACTGACACCAATAACCTTATGGCTTTTAGAATGCTGTGTTACATTCACACAGGGTGCCTTTGTTCAGACTCCTCAACTTGTTTTCACTGTTCTCATGGATGTTGTTCCAAGGCTTCAATACACCTAAGAGTTAGTGTTATATAATGAACAGTGGGTGGACATGATCTAGGAAACACAAGTGTCATCATTTCCAAGAAAGTGCAAATTGGTCTTGGGACCTAGTAGCTAAGGGGTTGCTAAAAACAAGTCAGGAAGGTCCAATATAGCATCAGAACACCTATCCAGCCACTTGTGTCATTTGTCCCATCAAGAGTGGTGCTGAATACACTGTTGTGGGTGAGGAGCACATCTTTATTTAGATGAAGCTGGGCATGCTCAAGGTAGTATGACCACAGACATTCTCTATTTACCTTTTTATAGTCCAGTTTACCTCCAGGGGCTGCCTGGTTTTCTTTGTCAACCATAACTGGCTACCGATATGGGTCTGTGTCCCATCTCACCCCAAAACATGCATGTTTGCCTTAATAGTTTATATATTAAAGTGAACTTCCATTAATGGATGGAAGATGGACCTGAGGATTTGTGTATATGCTGCATACTTTTACACCGATGAGAGATACACACAGCAAAGTAATCCTTTCTACATGTACCACTCTGTTTCCACCAAACCTGCTGCTTTGGGTGGCTGCTGTGGATTAAGGTGTGTACCTAGCTCCAACATCTAAAGCCTTCACAATAGCAAGGGACCAGTAAATCCCATCTGAGTGAGGGCTTCTGGTTACACTGTATGCCCTTCACCTACCGGCAATTCATTAGGGGAGCAGTCGGGGTAGTTACCAACACACAAGGTCTTCTCCTTCAGTAGCTGGCACAGTGGGGATCATCTGTGCTTTTTAGTGATTCATCTTTTCAGTGGACTGTTCAGGTTTCAGGGCCTTTCAGAGGTTCATAAACACAGCATTTGTCTTTTTATCCCCTCCCCCAATTGTTACCAAGTGACCCTGATTTGTCTGATTTCCCTTAAACTCTTAAACTTGCCACTCTCTGTCTGTAAAAAAAAAAAAACAAATGGAAATTGAGCACTTTCATCCCTTGTTCCTTCTTAGCCACATCTCCTGCTAATAAGGAGAATGCCTCCTGTATATCTATTTCCAAATCAAGTTCCTATAGATGAGCCAGTTCTCTCTGGACAGACAGATAAGCCTCCGTTGCATGTCTCATCACCTGCAAAAGGGATCATGGAAATGCAATTACAGTTTGTAAGCAAACCATTCTATATTGCACAGAGGAAAGATGTCACCCCATCCTGTATTCATCTGTGAGTCTGTCTGTTCCTGTTCACATGCAAGGTATCATGATAATTTTCCCGGAGAAACTATTCACCTGCATAGAACAGACACTAACAGACCAAAGGCAGCTTTCCATCTGAGTCCAGATTGGGGACAGGGATTATATTGGTATTACTCATGGAAGCCTGGGTGACACAGGCAGCAATACCAGCAGGCCCTGAAGAGTCTCTTCTGCAACTTATGAGAAACTGTACAGTCAAGGAGTTTCCAACCCCCAGTCAACCTTTTACCTCCTCTATAACCTTGGACAGAGGAGGGACTTCGTGAAGATTTCATGAGCCCTCTGGGCTCCATTAAGTAAGCTCTACGAACATCCTCTCCTTCTGAAGGGGAACACTAATTTGTCCAAACTCTTGAGGGCCACCTAAGGGAGATCACGGCTACTCTGATACAAGATGAAGATGGTCACGTACAGTCTGGAGGAAACAGAGGCACAACTCCTTTGTTGCTTTTAGGACTACATTGCCTAAGGATTTTGGAAGCAAGCATTGCTCCAAGCTAATTTCTTGTATAACCTAAGCTGTCTTCAGAAACTTTGAACCAAAAAGCAAAACAAAACAAAAACCCAAACCTGTAATTTGTATAGTTTCTAAATTTGTCTGTCTTAGGTTGAAAAATGGCATGCAAGTATCTCATTAACAGAGATTTAGGACATAGTGCTAACTAAGTACAGTAGCAGATCCTGTCTCTTCATTGTTTCACAATGAGGATGTAGGGTTTCTAGGGGTTTTGTTTTGTTTTTAAATTTATTTATTTTATTTATATAAGCATATTGTAACTGTCTTCAGACACACCAGAAGAGGGTGTCAGATTCCATGACAGATGGTTGTGAGTCACCATGTGTTTGCTGGGAATTGAACTCAGGACCTCTGGAAGAGCAGTCAGAGCTCTTAACCCCTGAGCCATCTCTCCAGCCTGGATTTCTGTTTTATACAGAGAAACTGTACTTTGTTAGATAAGAAAATTTCTGAAATGAGAAACATAGACAAAAATATGCATACAGTCAGGTAAGGAAGCATATTCTGTCACTTTATAGACATTAAAAAAAATCACTTTAGCCCATAGTTTAATACTCGCCTGGGCAGTAAAGTGATCTCCCATTTTAAAAAATAAAATAAAGAAGGAGGAGGAGGACAGGAAAGAGTGAAAAAGTAAAGTGCTGTGTTCTTTATGAAATTATCTGCTTGGTATGAGCCTCCTTCTGGAAGCTGCACTTTGCACCCTCATGTTTGGCATAGAAGCTGAACATTTTGATGGTACCTCAGTTGCCTTGATTCCAATTGATTGATTGGGAGATAAGGTTCCAAATGGACTAAGCCAGGAAGTATGAACTTGTCCACACATATACATTTGTGTGGTGTGTTCCTGTGGATTACAGTAAATTAGGATTATATCTGACATCTTGGGTTATGAAGACAAATTACTTATATTTAAATCTTATTTTGATACTTAATATCACATGATCTTGGGGAAATTTCTTAACCTGTCTTCAGTTTCCTTATTTTGTCAGACAGATAACTATATCTATTTCATGTGTTTGTTTGTTTATTTATTTATTTATTTATTTATGCTTTTTTAGAGACAGGGTTTCTCTGTGTAGCCCTGGCTGTCCTGGAACTCACTCTGTAGACCAGGCTAGCCTCGAACTCCTGAACTCAGAAATCCGCCTGCCTCTGCCTCCCAAGTGCTAGGATTAAAGGCATGCGCCACCACTGCCTGGCTTATTTCATGTGTTTATAATGAATAGCAGAGCATAGAAAAGCATCTTGCATATGCACCTACCTACATACCACATATGCACAACAGGCATACACCTACTTACACATACAATGAGATAAGGAAGGGGTAATCAGAGAAAGATTTATAGTTGGAGAAGGTTATAACTTTAATTTTCAAACCCCAATTTTAATGAAGGTTCTTAAACACTTTAAAACCTCCCTTTTAGCCCACCACTCACAAGAGGTAGTGGGAAAGGATACAGGGGAAGTGGACCTGTTTAAAAATGGTTCTTTGGAGCAACTCTCATCTGTGCTGTCTGGAAATCAGCAGTTCAGTTCACAAGTCTGCAGTGGCAGCTTGATCCATTTGCAAACATTTCACGGATACACCAGAAGTCCAGTTTGGTAGAGTTGGGATAGCAAACATGAATCAGCAGAGGTGGCATGACCTAGCAGAGCCAGCCAGGCCTCAGCCTTGGCTGGAGTCAGCAGCAGGAGGGACCAGCAGGAATGCCAGGAGATGTTCTTAGCTGTGTCTCTGACAGTGAAGTGGAAGATCAGTGAAGACTTAAGACCAACAAGCATTGCACAACTAGCTCTATGAGCAAGGCTAGCTCAGTCTCCATCACTGTCCATTGAGTCCTTTTTAGACTTCCTCCAAACATCAAGTGTCCTCCATGGGTTGTGCCTCAGCATGTATCTCATCTCAGCATGAATGTCTGTCTTAGCTGACATCATTCTGCCAATCAGTCCCAGTCCGCTGAAACAGCAAGAAACTGCAGCACACCACTATAAGTTTCTTGGTGTATTTCACTCTATGGAGTCCCAACAAATGGAGCTCAACTACAAAATGTAGGTGGACCAACACATGGGTGTCAGCGAAGAATCCTTCATCCATCATCATGTGTCCTTTCACGTGCTTGCTTTAGCAGAACATCCTTTCACTTGTGCCTGTGTCAACGAAACATTCCTTCACGTGTTTGCCTTAGCAAAATACCATCCAACACAACTGACGAAGAATCCTTAGGTTTCCACTTCAGAAGGTTCATGTACAAATGCCCTGAGGTAGGAAAGAGTTTGATGATGGAGATGAAAATGGGCCAGTATAAATGGCCTGAAAGGGGTCTGGAAAGCTAGGTAGGGACTATATCAGGCAGGTCCTTAAAAGATTAGTAGGTCCTGATGACTTAGGTAGTCCTTTAGAGTTCAGACTAAGGACTTTGAGTAAGTGTAATAGTAGTTGCAAGAAAGAAGTGGTCAGAGCTTAGAGATATTTGGTAATAGGGGAGAAATCAAGTCTTTGTCCTCCTTTCCTACTTAGACTATTAGATAATCAACTAACAAAAGAGGAGCAATTTCCTTTGTAACTAATAAAATAAGGTTAGTAGAATTATATCACCATTTAAAAATTCCTAATAAATTAGTTGATATAAGCATTACTCATCAGTGACTACTAACATTACAAAAAGAAAAAGACAAGCGTACATTTGTGTATTGCCTAATGGAAAAGTGCACAGCCACCTATGAAGTAATCTTGCCCTAGATAAAAATTGAATCTGATAAAACATCTACTGATTCACACAAAGGTACAAGAGGGAAGGGAACCTGTTATACATATTAAATGTCAAATTTTACATTGTGGCAAAAAACACAATACATTGCTTACACCGAAAAGAGGCAAATAAAATAGAGATCTTAAACATGTACCAACTAAGCACAGCATAACTCAACAAACCAGAAAAATAATATATGTGAATGTGGATAAACAGAAAGCATCTAGGTCAGGGATTGCTCAGGACTATAGAGTTGAGGTGGAGAGAGTAACAGCTAATAGGTCTGGATTTCCTTTTGGGTGATGAGAAAGTTTAAAAACTGACTATAGTGATAGTTGTACAGCTCTGTGAAATATTAATTATCTCTGAATAGTACACCTTAAATGTGTGGGTTATGTGGTATGTAAGTTATGTTTTAATAAAATTGATACACATAGATTATATATACTCTATATACAGTATAGAGAATGTATATTATTATTATTATCTGGTATGGTCGGAAGATGATAAACAATAGCTGGGTTTTCAGTTTTGAATGAGCAAGCTTAGCAAGTCTATGGCACACAAAAGCAAGAATAAATAGAATAAAGTAGCAGATAGAAACCAAAACACCATCCAATCGGGCACTCAAAACATCCAGTAGAAACTGACTGGGAAAGCCCCATCAAGTCAGCCAGCTAGAGCTCCTGACTGAGGAAGTGTCCCTTCAGGTGAAGCTTCCCAGTAAAACAACAGATAGCAGCAGAAAAGTAACATCATCAAATTAAACTTTTAACACCATCTGGCTGAAACTGACTGGGCAAGCTGAAGCAGTCAGCTGAACTTCCAGGTTCCTGTACCACTCCAGGCATCTTAACGTCATGGGGTAGACAATAGTAACCTCTGTTAGAAATGGTTTACCTTACAGTTGTTTTCAAAGTCATGGTGTTTCCACTCTTGGGTTGTTATGCTGTTTTCTTCTCCTGGTTTTACAGAGGTATGTGTGCTGGGATGGCAGTCCATCCACAGACAAAGGGCCTTTGGAGGACACTATGAGAAAAACATGCCTGCATTTAAGTGGGGAATGGGGAGGCAATACCATTTCCAGAGCCAGCTTTTCAACGTGCCCAAATACTACATGACAATTTACACATTTTATGTACAATATAGTTATATCTCAAATATATTTTATATTATTCAAACTATAATACAATAAAACTATCAAAATATAAAATCATAAAACTATCAAATATGTAAAAGAAGAGACACGAAGATATAGAAAAAAATATCCAAAGAATTGAATATTTCTATTCAGAGGAAGTAATGTTATTCAAGAAAGACCATCATGTTTTATAGGTGAAAAAATAACTCTGCAACTGTTTAACTTTCTTGAAAGAAAAACTTTCTTGAAAGAGACTAGGAAGGGCCCAGACAGTAGTGTTACGAAAGTCACAGTAAGAGCTTGGGACTTTACCTGAGAACAATAGCAATTGTTGGCCGTTGAATGACATGGTTGCTAAGCATCACAAGTCTGGCTTCCACTTGGACAGTGAAGAGAAGGGGGAGTCTATTTGGGAACCAGGTAAGAATTATTATAACTGGGTACCATTTGTTATATTTTAGGATGGTGGCAGTGGGAATGAGCATTTTTAACAAGGATAGTTCAATTGGATTGGTTTGCAGTAGGGTAGGAAAGTGGCAAAATTGACCTATCTAACTAAGTGGAACATTAGAGACTGGCATACTTCATGGTAAGGAAAGGAGATGAAGAAGTAAGTCTGAATTGTAATGGGCTCTCGTTGAAATAACTCCAGTCAGACTAGAAAACTTGCTGATGAGTATAAAGCATTCTTTCTCTGAAATATGTTTTGGTCTAAATAAGCTTCCATTCAGCAGTTAAGGGTCTACCATGAGAAAGTACCATTTTTGCCAAAAATGAGTTTCCCAAAGAGCTCATGGATTTAAAAAAAAAATCCCTTTCTGGAATTTGAATTCCTCAGAATCATCTACACTGGGTTAATAATTAAGAGTTCCTCATACTGTCTAGTTTGTTTGTTTCACCTGTGTACAGGATTCCGATTTCACAAAATCCTCCCAGCAGAATTATTCAACCCGGTGTCAAAGTAAGGTCTACCTATTCTAGCAACACAAGGGCAAGTCTCTGCTAGCTCGAGAAGAAAAAAAGGTGGGAGGCTAAGGGCCACAGAAACTGATCCTGCCCAAAACCAAGATACAGAAGAGGGTTCCAGCAATAGCTAAGCTTTGCATTTTCTCTCACGCCCTCTCCAAGCCTTTAAGAGACCAACAGCCATCTGTTGCTTAATAAATTCTTCAGACCTATGGTCGGGATGGGCTGGGAGGATAGCATTTTTAGAGACAAAATGAAAAATAAACAGAGCAAAAGAAAAAAGGAGAGAAGACAAGAGAATGAAAGGTCTCTCTCTGCCTCTCTCTGTCTGCCTCTGTGTGTGTGTGTGTCTGTGTGTGTATACACATGCGCACACTCCAAGTTCTGCCTGTCCTATGAACATTTAACCACACACCTTTGTCCCTTGAGTCACAATTAGAAACGTCCAATTAAATTCTCTTTTATATTGACTGTCCTATTAAATAGACTAAGAAACAGGCTTTATTTGTCTACTTTATTCTTTATTACCACTAGATTCTTCTACATTTGTTTCCATGACATATGTTTTCAGTACATATTCCACCAAGGGCCTTTAGCTCAGGCACCTCCCTAGTTAGTAAGCGTCTTCAAATCTTAGTGTAAAGCCAGGCTCAATTTGTTTTCTAATTTTGCTTGTCGCTGAAACAGAATAATAAAAACATGATAGAATAATATTAAGAAACCTATAGATTAGGTTGTCAAGGATTAAATACCTTCTAATACTTGAAAATTTGTTGGTGCATAGACTTTGGCTTTGTTGCCTTTATTTTGAAAGATTTCGTTGTTTAGGGTGCTCTCGTGCTTGGTAGAAGGTGGTTTAAGTCAGAGGTGGTCAAGTTCTATTGCAGTTGGGAGGTCAATCTACCTTGCACAAACTCTTTTGATTTAAAAGCTGGAGGTATAGATGCACAACATGCATATTCAAATGCTTAACACCCAAATTGCAGCAGTCTTGACTGGCATCCTGCCCTCCTCCACTCCTCTGGGGCCCAACACCTGCCTCCAGGAGTACCCCCCTCTTCCTCCATTTGCCAGGTCTGATTTCCTGAGTTCTGAGGAAGCCACGGCTTAGGGTGTTTAAATATCCTAAAGGCTGATTTTGCCGCGACCTGAAACTCAGACAACAACCCTCTAGACAGTAATAATCAATTTTGGGCGATCCGCACATTCTCTTCCCCAAGGGCAGCGAAGAGACTGTGTACTAGAATGAGGTTCACAGAGAAGGAATAGTTTACAGTTGCTTTAAATTTTAGAAGCCAGTTTGTGTTGGGGAAAGGAGAAAGACAGGGGAGTTAATATTTTTCGGGTCATCTCAGAACTGCACTTTCTGCCATGATAATTAGAAAAACGCTAAGGCAACCTCAAAGTACTATGAGGATGCTAGACGTGCCAAGACGCTCTGTAGTAACACTTGCGAGGGATCACTGTCCATCCGGGAGAAAGCAGGGGAGCTCGCCAGGTTCTACAAAGCCCTCGTGGCCACGCCCTGATAGGCCTCAGTTTCCACGTGTGAAAAATGGCCACACCACTCAAATCTCTTTCCCAACAGAGAAAGGTTGGAGTGCTTCCCTGCTACACAAAACACCAGAAAAGATAAGTTTCTTTCGGTTTTTAGCTCCAAGGTAAGCAAATCGTCCTAACGCTTGCTTCCTTCGGCGCAGGATCAGACCATGGCTACAGGAGGCCAAACTGGACAGGCCTCATGGCGCTCATGCATATGAAGCACACAGACAAGTGCACAGACCGGGTCAAGGCCCGCTGTGCTTCACTGTCTGGCTTGCACCACAGGCTAAGGACAGCTCGCACTACGCTTGCGCAATAGCCGCGCACCGCCTTCAGCCCGGCCCCGCCCCTCCCTAGCCCGGCCGTCCGCGCGGAGCATTGTGGGACACAAACAAAGTGCCCCCCAAACAGGCTGGAGTGAAACGAGCGGCTACGGCGGTGCCGGCCCGCACGCGCGCTGCGGCGGCTCCCTCCCAGCCTCCCCTCCTCTCCCCTCCGTCCCTTTCCCCTTCCCCACCCCGCCCCGCCGGGCCAGCGCGAGCCGTCGCCCGCTCTCGGCAAACCGCCCCCAACGGCCGCCCGCGCGCAGCGGGCTGGGCCCCTCGCTCCTCCCCTCAGGCCCACGGGCGCCGGGCGCTCTCCTCCTCCTCGCGCCTCTCACTCTCGCACCTCGCGGGCACGCGGGTGAGCGGCGCCGCCATGCGCGCCCAGTCCCAGGCTGCACACCGGCCTAGGCGCGGCGGCCCGAGATAGGGTCCCTTGAGCCTCCCGGGGGAGGAGAGGAGCCAGCCGCGCGCTCCGCCCCCTCCCCCCGGGTTGCCGCCGCCGCCACCACCGCCACCGCCACCTCGCCGCCCCAGCCTGGCGGGGAAGAGGAGCAGCAGTTGCAGGCCTCCGGGCCCCCGCACAGCCGCCCGCAGGTAACGGGAGGGGAGGGCCAGTGGGGAGACGGCGGGCCAGCCCGGCGACTGACACCACTTGTCACCCACCTGGACCTGGGAGGGAAAGGAAACCTGGTTTGTCACCCTGATTCGTGCCGGGAGGCACCCACAGGGTCCCCCTCATTGGCAATTAACCCTTGTAGGGGGGGCTGGCCTTGGTCCCAGCGGACTTGAAGCAGTCACCCAGATCTTCCAGGGGCGCATATCTGCAAGAAAATCCACCCAACAACAAATGCTATGCTGGCGGGGTGCTTATTACCCGCTCACCTGGTCTACCCGCGAGCCCTAGACCTGTTTATTCCTTCCTCTCCCAGGTTGCCCCACTCCTCTGTAATGGAACGGTACTTTTAAAAAGAAATGAGGAAGAGAATGCAAACACTTCTTCCCCCTCCCACCTACCTGAGGATCACTCTGTATCTAGTCTTTTTATTGTCGGCCTAACAAAAAGCAAGGGGTTACCTGCAAGTGAAATGACAACTAACTTATAACTGATTAAAGAATATTTCATGTTTGATTTATTTATTTATTTTTTGGTAAACCTTAACCAAAATCTACTGTAAACCGCGATTTTCATGTACTTTTACGGAACTTACAAAAATTAAGACCAAAACTACTTTTTTAAGCATATACGCATATTAATCTGTTGAAGGTATTTTTTTTCGGAAAAATTCTCAACTTCTGCTTATTAGCATTTTTGCAGAGATAAGTTAATACCAAAAACCAACTATACAATATAATAGATACCAGAGACTGGATAAAGATTTGATATTTCCCTTTGCCTATTTGGTAATTGTTATTAAATTGGTATTAAAAAATACTACATAGACCTTGATTTTTTTTTTGTTACTCCCTATTTACTTTGATTTCTAGTTGACTTATAATATTCATTTATGTCTTTGTAGTTCTCCCCGTGGAATGTAAAAAGGACTTAATACATTTGTATTTTATGATGATTTGTATTTATTAATTACAAAAACCAGTTTTTATTTACTTTGTGCAGTGGTGCTTTGCTTTGTTAGAGCTCTAGACTTATTCTCAAATTCTCAGTCGAATTAGCAATGTCCATTATGGTACATGATGTATGTCCTGATGGTACAGTTACTTTTGAATTTTATAGAATAGACAGAAACTTAGTAATATTAATTGTAACTTGCCCTAGGTTACCCCAAGTAGTAATTTAACAATTGAACCCAGAGACAGTTCCTGGGGAAGGTGTCTTTTTCTCCTGTACTTCTCAATAGTAAGACAATTTCTTTTATGGCCTGAAAGTTTCAGTTTCACAGAAGTTGTCAGGGAAAATACAGTGAACATCAGTACCAGATTAGTGATCAACCTTTTTTCTCCATATTGTTGCCAGTTTTTTGTTGTCGTTGCTACTGTTGCTGTTGTTGAGACAGTCTGCTTCTTCCTAAGTGCTGGATGGAATTGGATTTTTTTTTCCACTATGTTTGATTTTTTTGTTGTTGTTGGGTTTTGTTTTGCTTTGTTTTTCAAAACAGGGTTTCTCTGTGGAGCCCTGGCTGTGTCCTGGAACTCACTCTGTAGACAGGCTGGCTCTGAACTCAAAGATCCCACCTGCCTCCTAAGCACTGGGAATAAAGACATGCACTATCGCCACCACCAACAGGCTCCATACTTGATTCTTAAATATTTCCTAAAAATACCAAGTCAAACTAACAATGTCCATTAAAATTTGCATATTCAAATTTACTCATTAGTCCCAAAGTGTCTCCACTGCTGTAGTCATTCAAGGTTCTTGTGTTCCATGTAGTGATTGAGTACACTTTTGTTAAAAAGGGTGGTACCCAGACCACTTCTCTGTTTTCTGGGCACTTAACTAACCAAGCCAATTGTTCTTAGTGTATGGCTACATTTGAACTTTGACCTTGTCCTCTGCGTGTCAATTCATTTAATGTTCTTGTTAAGTAAAAGTTTGGTTCTAGACCTGTCCAACTGCTTGTCCATGGTTGTTTCCAAAGACAAGGGTATCTATGAATTCAGCCCAACACAAAGTTGTAAACTGAAAATACTAGTTTGTGTGTATGTGTGCTCCTAACTTCATGGATTGAATGATTTCTTTGAAAACTTTGTACATGATAGTGATAGTATCTTGTCAAAAGATTGGACATCCCTGGAACAAAGATTAGTTTAAGTGAAACTTTATTTGGCAAGAATATTTAAATGGGGGCTGGAGAGATGGCTCAGTGGTTAAGAGCACTGACTGCTCTTCCAGACGTCTTGAGTTCAATTCCCAGCAACCACATGGTGGCTCACAACCGTCTATAATGGGATCTGATGCCCTTTTCTGGTGTGTCTGAAGAGAGCAATGGTGTACTCATATGCATAAAATAAATAAGTAAATCTTTAAAAAAAGAGTATTTAAATGGGTGATACGCTGTATCTCATATTGTATATATTAGGAGGTTTATAGTGTCAGGACACCACAGTTGATAATGTTAAATGTGACCGTTTGGTTAAAGTGGTGACTACAAGGTCTCTTGTGAAGGTTTGGTTTGAGAGTCTGATTATATGTGGCCTTAAGGTAGTAACTCTGATGAGAAGCAAGTAACTTGTTTCTAACTATACCTTGCTTAGTGATTTTTAGCTCTTAATCAGTTACTTTATTGAAGTTTCCTGAAAAAAATTTTCTTTATTAGGGGCAACGACGATGATGATGAATCTTTATTAGAACTTTAGTTCTAAAGTTCTTCCTAAAAATGCAGATTAAATGCTTGATCAGTTTAACTATTGATTTTTAAAGAGATGGGGATATTGTTATCCTATTGAACAGATTTTTTTTTTTCATTTTGGGGAGATTATGATAACCATTATGAATGTGAGATTTGGGGTGATAGTACTACCAGGGAGTTTTAATCTATTCATTTTATAACCAAGTAGGATCCTTTTTGAGGGCCACATTGTCCCCAGTTTGGAGATGCGAATCCTTACAGCTGCAGTGTCTTTTGACACTTAGGCAGGTGTCCAGTATCTTGAAGCACTTTCTGGAATAGGGTATCCTAAGCTGCTTTTACTGTGCCATTTGGAAAGGGCTGTTTAACCAGGGAGTCTTGGTTATTTTAGTGAAAAATGCTATATACAAACAAAGATCTGAAAGTTTGGCATAATCATTTCTACCAGAGTATTACTGTTTCTTGAAAGGCTAGAACTAAAAATTTATTTACTTAGACAGGGTCTCACTGTAGCCCTGGCTACTCTGGAACTCACAGAAATCCTCCTACTTCTGCCTCTCTAGTGCTGGGATTAAAGGTGTGGCCAGCACACCCAGACACTTAGCATTTGATTAATCATGAGTTCATAGTGTGATACATCCAATTGAAATTATGCAGGACAGACTTTTTCATCTTTGATTCTTCTTTGGTCAAAAAATGATTTGTGTTTAAATCATTTTTTTAAAATTGCAATACCAGTACTACAGATTTTTTATTAAAGGTGATTTTTTTAAGGAATTCTTTTTAAGATTTAGAAATTTTTATGTGTATAGGTGTTTTGCCTGCATATGTGTCTGTGTGTCACATGTGAACCTGGTGTCCTCAGAGACCGGAAGAGGGTATTTGAATCCCTGGAACTAAAGTTGCAGTTGGTTGGTAAGCTCTCATATTGGGTACTGGGTCCTCTGCATGGATGGTAAGTACTCTTCATTGCTAAGCCAACTCTTTACCCCAGAGTTTTAGTTTTGAATATATAAAATACATACATAATTCAAAATAATGTTACAAAAACTATGCCTTTAAAGACTTTACTCAAGGGCTGGAAAGATGGCTCGGCAGTTAAGAGCACTAACTACTCTTCCAGAGGTCCTAAGTTCAACTCCCAGCAACCACATGGTTACTAATCTGTAATGGGATCTGATGCCCTCTTCTGGTATGTCTGAGAACAGTTACTCATAAATAAATAAATCTTTTTAAAAAACAAAACAAACAAACAAACAGAAAAACCCTTTACTCAAGAAATTTTACTCAAGGGCCTAAGTTGAGGCCCCAGTACGATCACAAAAAAAAAAAAGAAAAAAATCGAGGTGCCAGCCAGAGGGCACTACAGAAGGGTAGGCTGAAGCCATATAATAGTACTTTTAAGTATTAGAGTCACATCTTCCTTTGGCTAATCTTTGGAAATTTGCAGAGAAGTGCTTTTGAAGCTTGCTTTTGTGGGTGTCATAATTTTTTTTTTTAAGATTTTAGTTTATTTATATGAACACATTGTAGCCGTCTTCAGACACGCCAGACGAGGGCATCAGATTCCATTACAGATGGTTGTATGCCACCATGTGGTTGCTGGGAATTAAACTCAGGACCTCTGGAAGAGCAGTCAGTGCTCCTAACCACTGAGCCATCTCTCCAGCCTGGGTGTCATAATTTAAGTAACAATTTTTTTAAAGATTTATTTATCTTTTAATTTATATGAGTATACTGCAGCTGTCTTCAGATACATACTAGAAGAGTGTATCAAATCACATTACAGATGATTGTGAGACACCATGTGGTTGCTGGGAATTGAACTCAGGACCTCTGACAGAGCAGTCAGTGCTCTACACCACTGAGCCATCCCTCCAGGCCCCTTAAGTAACAATTTATGAAAGAAAAACTGCAACTCTTACTTGAAAGAAAGTCCTGGTCTGTGGGATGGATATTGGCTTCTCAGTCAAGTGCCTGCTATAGCAAGCATGCAAACCTAGGTTCAGATCCCTAGCAACAGTGCATGGAGAGATGGGAGCCCTGGATTTGGTGCATAGGTAAAGGTAGCAGGATTCCTGAAACTTGATAGAAAGCCAGTCTAGCTAGTAGATGGTTTCCAGGAAAGTGATAATGGTAGACAGGAAACTTTGACCTTCCTTACACCCCCACCCAATCATCTTTAAAGCTAAATGTAATTGATAGAGGTTTTATGAATATTTGCTTTTATACTACACAATAAAACTGGCATCTATATGCTGTCTACAGATATAAAGGCCGCTTGGACAT